GATAAAATGAAATTGCACACAGCAAGACATCATTAACCAAATTGGATCTATTGTTTGTACCCAAAAGATACATAGCTTTAATACTCATTTTGTTTTTGGTTAACGATGTTCCTGTATATTTTTTTCCTAAGTTTTCATATCTTCATAGGTTTCAACCACTCCCTGATTTCGAAACCAACGGTGTGCAAAAATACAGGATAAAATGGTCATTAATTCGTTTTGCAACTAAATTCAAATTAACAATACTGATATTTGAAATCTGGACAAATCAATTATATATAGTGAATGAAAGTATATATTTATCTACTTCATTGATATAAGATGTGATGAAGCATTCCTGGTAATTGAATCTGCTCAGAAAATAATTCCCCACGAAGATAAAAAGAAACGAAATCTCTTTTACAACTTGTCCTGTACGCGTAGAAATAGTTTAAGCTATCAGATTAAAGAAAAATGAAAGCGCCTCTGAGTCGGACAATTGACATATAGATATACTTTGTCTTATATTATGGTGAAATACTGCTTCTATCAATTAATGAATAAATAAAAAAGCATTTAAGGTTTTGAATAATAAGTACTATAATGATTAATTATGGATAAGGAAAAATTATTTATTATGTCCTATCTAATCAGCATATCTTATATGATATTTTCACCAAAATTTTTAGGTACATATATATTCTGAATGACGGATTGATTTAATAGTCTTTTGGTTTTTTTAAAAATGATGAACTTCATTGAGTTTTGTAATTCATGTATTTAAAATGGTTTAGTTATAATTGTTATTTTTAGATTGACACTTTAACAAAGAAGTCATCTAAATGAAAAGGCAACTGGTAAAAGTGTAAGAAAAACAAATTAATGTTGAAAAGAAAGTGGATATTATGATTCAAATACTACAATCAAAAACAAATGAACGAAAAAAGCGAAGCCAAAAGATTAACGTCCCTGCACAAATTGCAGTAAGTAATTATTCATTGTTCAACTTTTAATTAACCTTTTCAAAATATTGCATAATGTACATGTTGTAGGAGATAGTTTATACAATGTTCATTTTTATGTATTGTATCATAACAATTGTCACTAAGTTTGCGAACCTAAAAATTCAATACTTAGCAAAATGTCATTTATTTCCTTTTTTCACGGATTACAATTTTATTTTCGGACTATGTACTAAGAAGTAATTGTGGTCATCACAAGATTCGAATACATATTGCACACTTACATTTTGTGTTTTAACTGTATAAATATTGCAAAATTTTACACACTTTGATTACATGTTGTCGTGTTTTAATTAGAACGTAATAAGGTCGTGAAGTTAAGAATGTACATGTATATATATTTTATGTTTGCGACTTTCTACACATATAATTATATAATTTCAGTTCTCAGTTGTTCTTGATGCATGCAATTTAAATGCTTAAGAGCGTATCTTTTTCCTTTCAGCAATCAAGAAGGGATGGTTATCAGCAGGGTATTACTGAAAAGGATTTCATCTGGAGAATAAAGAACGAAACTGGCAGTATTTTAAAGTATGTATATGAAATTAAATGATTTAAAAGTTTCCTTGGAAATTGAAAAAATATCATGGTTTGTTATTCAAACCAATTTAATTTAATATGTAATGTATGTCCACATTCATCATTAAACGATACGGTTTTAGGAAAAATGCTCGATTACTTGTGATTTACGACATTGAAACAGATTTAATTTTGATCATATAAATTATCTACTTTGAATCATTAATTATGAAATTCTACTTATTCGAGTATAAATCTTAATTTTGTACACAGCTTTTGGGTCAATTTAAGTGAAAAGTTTGCAGGATATATATGTGTATTTGGTAATCATAGTTCTATTCAGATTCAAACAAATTGATAATTTTACCGACATTTGTTACACTCTTATTTAAGGAAGCTTTGATTTACAGTAAGATTATTTTTCAAATTACTTTTTTTCAGATGTAATTCTGCAGAGAACAAAGAGAAGTCTGGATTCATCATAGAATTTGTAAAAGGCCCAATATCCTGATGAAGTGGAGGGATTTGTAAGAGGTTTGTAGCCCCAGCTAACCCCCCCCCCCCCCCCCCCCTCCCAAAACCCCAAAAACAAAATAGTCGAAATTGCAGTTCTGCAATACAATTGCTTGGCCTAGAAGGCATCTTTAACTGTCATATTAAGAATGACATCTAAAAAGTTAAAAGTAGTCAAATTCAGTTGATACTTTTTTTATTTGGAAAAGAGTGTTACGTTACTGAATAAATCCTAGCTTATGTTAACATTACATTGATACTGTCGGCTTTTTTTATACAAGAGGGTATTTTTGTTGTGCTGTTTTAGGGAGCAACCATTTAACTTTAAGGGGGGAAGGGGGTATGGTTTTTTGTCTGAGTCAGAATTTTATTTTCGCCCAAAGCGCGAACATTTTTTTTTGCAAAATTTAACACTATAAGGTATGGGGGAAATCTGGTATCAGATTACTTTTTTAGGAAATAACCATACCCCCCCCCCCCCCCTCTTTGAAATCACATGGTCGATCCCTTGTTGCTACACACCTGTATCTTACCTCTTTTTATTTCGAAACATGACGTTCCAAATTACCATTGAATTCACTTTATATGATTTCGGACCAAGTGTTGAAATGAGTAACCCCATAACCAGGGGCCTGTTTCTCGAAAGTATCTTATATATGACTAAGACATGTCTTATGATGGTCTTAGGACATGTCATAGTCGTGAGATATGTTTTCGTAAGTGTCCATATATCATAACTTTTGTCGTAAACTTAAGACACTAGCTCGCGACATGACTTATGATGGTCTTATGATTATCAACTAGAATTCTAATTACTTTTCATATATAATTTCATGTACAATGTACATTACAATAAAAATAATAGTTGTGTTGCTCAGTCGGCAAAATATTTAGATTTATTCTTCTCCATTTTGCATTCAAACTTTTTGAATCTCCTGCGACGTAAAATTTGGACTCCTTTTCTTGCTCATGATTTTGAAAAATAAATATACATATTATTTCTTTCCTTATATTATTACTTTATTTACGCATTTGCACGGGCATATAAGCAGACACTTTCAGTAATATTTTGAAACGCCATATAATTTCCATATTATAAATAAGTTTTATGTTAATGGATCACTTACTAGCAAATGCATACTATCATATAACTTTAATAGATCTATTTTGATTTCGATCATATCACATCAAAACATTCTACCATGGACTAACCAAGTGACACTGTTTAGTCTCAAATGGAGACAAGCAATTGTATGTTAAAAAAATATTTCTTTTAAATTGCCTTAAGTAGATTTTTTTTTGTAGAAGGGATAAAGACAAATTTTGAATCGTTCAAAGCAAAGAAACGAAGAGACGAAACTGATAAACAAGAAGAACATAACAAGAAAATGGCTGTGTACAGCAAGATGAGTAAGAACTGATTTTTTTATTATGGTGAACAATTCAGATATTACAGTCAACATAAGAAGCGGATTTAGACGGGAGTTTTATTTAATATTATATACTTATATCACTCTAAACAGGGAACCCCCTTTTAACTTCATTTTCTTTTTGCTTTTCACTAAATTCCTTTTGTGACGCTACACTAAAAAAAGGAAAAAGGTGACCATATCTAACGACGTCACATATATATAAATACCTCATTTTGCAGATCAGTGAAAAAGTTTGTCTACGTAACGTCTAAAAATCAAAATAGAAACAGACTCCAACACCGAATCTCGTGCAATATACTATTTCTCCACTCTCGACAGTTGAATTTTCAATGCTCAAAAAGCTCGGCAGGCCTTCACTTGATGTAGCGGTAGAATTTCTCTCTCCCTCTCTCGCCGGCCGGGCTTTTCAAGAGAGAGAGAGAGAGAGAGAGAAATTAAATGCTAGGAATTGAGTGTTCTGTTGGATTATATTATATTCATAAATAATATACAGCATGCTTTCTGTCACAGTAATCACTAGTATTGTTTTTACAGACTGCTTTTTGCTGAGGTTATAATAATAATAATAAGAATAATAATAATAATAATAATAATGATAATAATATCTTTATTGAAAGAGTGTTATTACGGCATATATGGAATCTATTTGTATGTATTCAAAATGAAATTCAAGGAATTTTGATTTGGGCTTTATTCTCTTTTTTTTAGAAATTAAACAACAGAAAAAGTCCCTAAAAGTAAAAGTCCAGTATACCAGAGGAACAAAAAGAAAAGGGCTCGAAAAGCAGTGGTGCAGAACATGTCTTATGAACAAACAGATTCATAAGACGAAGGATCGTTTATCGTCAGACCTCTGCCTTGGAGGTCTGACGATGTTGATAAATTTAGTAAAAAAACTAGGCCAAAAACATGATGGTCAACTAACCAAGAGAAGCAGACGGCAGCACCATAAACGAAAGGTTGGGGCAGTTTCCTCAAGGATAAAACCAGAAGTCGTGCCAGGACATGAATGGGTGTTTAAATATTTTAAAAATAATGTCAGTGATTAAACTTTATTCGTTTTAACGTTTTAAGTATGCAAGTTTTACCGACCAAAGTAAATGCTACATGTAATTGTTAATACTGATTTTTACACAATTATTTGTCCCAAACTAAAAAAACAAAAAATCTGATATATCGTTCTATTCTTATATTAACATATTTCAGTCATCACGAAATCAAATAGATGCGAACAGAAAGAGAAAAAATACATCTTCATGTCGGATGTCAACATACCGTCTTCAACAACAACAAGCGGTTCGAAGGAGAACGTTTTTAATAAAAATAGTAAAGAAAAGTGCTTCTTGAAACAACAGTATTGTCGTAATGAGCAAAACTATTTAAAAATAACACGAACAATGTACATTTCATTGGCAAAACAAAATATAATAACTTTTTTGATTTGTAACCTAGCATCACGGAAAATAAATGTTAAAAAAATATTTTTTTATAGAATCTTCATTTTTAAAAGGAAAATCTTGTTTTTTTTAATATGGAAGTGATACCGAGAAAATAAGCAGTGTATTATTTGCACATAGTAGTAAAAAAAAGAAGACAAAAATGTAATTCTTCGAAATAGTAAGAAACTTGGTATATATTAAATTTCAATGTTTTAAATATTTCTTTTGTGCGTAATTATACAATATAAACAAGAAAAGGCTAGATAGCAGTAAATTTTATCTGGAACCCTGATGTAAGCAATCATACAATGCATGTATACAACAGTTGGTTTTACATTTAAAATCCTTGTTTTAGTGGTGAAGCTCTTCATTGTGTATTTTTTATATTATATTGATGTCCACGCGAGCATAATCAAATATATATTTTGAAATTAATTGCACTGATAAAACATATAGACATGTAACTGGGATCTTATATGTGAATCTTTTTTTTCTTCAATTGATTAAACAGTAAGCAATGAAAGGGAAACAACTCTTGTTAAAATAAGAATATTTTTCGTATCTTTACAAATTGAAGAAATTTGTTGTTTTTGTTTTTAGCTTAAAGGTTTACACGTTTATAATTATTAATATTCTTATTAAAAATAAGTATTAAGATCTTGATTTTTTTATTTTAATAAGAAAGGGGTTGTATATAATTGGGTGCTTGTTAAACCCTCCAAATTACATTGGATTTTATTATTCAGCTCGAATCTTTGTATTCAAAGGAAAATAACTCAGTCTATTAAAATAGTTGTTAGTTGTAATTAGGTCAGACAATCAAAACAACCACAAGAAAAAGGATTCTGCAAATATGTTACTGATTATTATATTTAAATACTCAGTCCTTTTACATCATGAAGTTGATATGTTTTTGTTCCTTAAAAACAGCTTTAGCAAAAACAAACAAAAATGCACAAAATTAGAGTTTTATTATTTTGTTATGTATGTAGATGTTTTTTTTTTAAATTATTATAGAACGGAATGTTAGTACTTTAATTTGTCATGTATTTGTAAATTCAAAATAATGAACAAATTTAGCTAAGATTCTAGATAATTGGGTTTTTTTTATTCAGGATTTCGCCATAGTCTAGATCTCCATTACGGGCAGCTTTTTTTATGAATTTTCAGTTGCTCCTCTCACTGTAATATCTTATATTTTGAGGCAATCATTAGTGTTTAATTCGAATTATGGGTTGTGGCAACTTAGGGTGTACAATTATGGCTTTGTTTGTTATACTGAAGTATGTTTGTATAAACAAATATATCCTGCATTATAATAGGGTTCGATTGTAAGAACTGTTACTGGTCATATGTGAATGAAAGCTGTAAATACATGTATATACTGTTTTCTGTCGTGAATTTGCAGGTCAATTGGCGTATATTTGGTGCACCAAACACGGAGATTACAAAGATTTTCGATAGTAAATGGAGTCAAAATGATTTTAAATTTGAAGTAAATCAAGTTATTTCACACACTAAATCTTTAAACTTGAAGTTGAATTTGATTTCAATTTGCATTAAATGAAAGTTAATCGTTGTATTAAATTTGTAACTCGATGTTGAATCAGATTTAAAACCACAGTAAACAGCTTACTGTTTGGAATATTATTGACTTTAATTTGTAGTAAATCATGTTATACAGATTTGCTCTACATTAAATTTGATGTTGTATGTATATTCAACTTGGTTAAATTCGAAAATTACTGGACAGTAAATCAGGTGTCAATTCATGAACTTACTGCGTCAAGTAAACTATTTGTAAACTACTATTAAACATTGCGTTTACTTGAACTATAAACTACCAGAAAAAAAATTAACTCGGAAATTACGACTGATTTTCAAGTAGTTTATTGATACCTTAAATTAATACTTTCATGCAGTGATAACTTGATACGTAATATTTATCAACAAGGTCTTGGTATCTTCCGATGAACTTATTTAGAAAAAAGGAGGAGACATTCTTTGACAGAAGCCAGGAAGAGGTTCAGGTGACCATATTTCTAAACCCCCAATCATCAAGGGGGTTCATTATATATCAGTGGTATTGCATTTTATCAATGAGTACCCATGTAACATAAGATTTGTAAACATTCATTTTCTTTTGCGCTGAGATCATATTTCATTTTTTGAAAGAGCAAAAAATAAGAACACTTTTAATTAAACCCTGAAAGTTGATCCACTGGTGTGAAAAACTTGGAGTTATTTAGCTACAAAAGGCGGGTATTGTGCCTTTAGACAAAAAATATGTTTAAAGCAATAGGCAAAATAAGGATCCTCAAAACTACAGAAAGTCGTATTAGAGTGATCTAATTCATTCACCCAATTCTAATTTGATGTTGGTGCGTATTTATACATCCCGCAGATCCACCGGAGACCACTTGCGACAAAGCCCCTCAGACCGAGATATTAATATCTGTACCAATTTCTCCATGATGGGTTAAGATGATCCCTTGAAAAGCTTGCTCCTTGAGAGGTATGAGCGTACCCGAAAGACATCCTGTGCTAAATTGCACAGAACTGTATTAAAATTCTCCCATTATTAAAAAAAAATACTTTCAGTCATAAAGAATAACAGAGAAAACAATACGAACCCTTTCTATATGGTAAGCTCATAAGTGAAAATTGTTGAATTGTTGTTTGCTGAATACGTCCAGTGACAAATGTGTCGTTCATTTTGAAGACGGGAACATGTTAAGAATAAAATTAAACGGTCAGTTCTTTAAAGTAAGTCACTATAAAACAGAAGCCCCTCTATATCATGGTACGTTGATTCTTGTTCTATACCGTTCTCAACTCATATATGACTGCAATGATGAAATTTAAAAAAAAAATTATAGCAAATCCACTCTTCTATCCAATATCTCTGGTGTGTTTCAATTTTTATTCATTGTGACAAGTTTTCCCAGTGTCAATAAAATTTTTGCCAACGTGGGCGTCTGTTTTGCTGTGCGGGATGTAAAGGTATTCAGCCAAGTCTGGTCAGAATGGTGACGTTAAATCCGATGCCTCGTGTAGAAAGAGTGCCACGCTCTTTGTAAGTTAAGAAGCCTTGTAACAACTCTTTGAGGGGCCCGTAGGTGGCGTGTTACAAGGCAAATTGCCTGTCCATAACCAACATACCCTCATTTTCAAGTGGCAGTCTAAATATTTTTCCGACCTTTATCCCAGATGACCTCTTATACATGACCTAATTATTGTGTTCATTGTCATTTTTTTTTTCATCCTGAACATGCATGAAATATTTGTCACTGGATGTTAAGCAATCAACAATCAATCATTCCAATATTTCTTCTGTGTTTCTACTGTTATTCATTGTGACTAAGTTTTCCCTTTGTCTAGTGGTTTTTATCAGTTGGTCCTGTGTTTTCCTTAAAAAAAAACCGAAAAAGACAATAAACTCATATGTATCCTTAGGTAATCTTGGTCCTGCCTTTTTATTTTTCACTTTATTCGGTTCTGCCTTTTTTATTACTTTATCCTGACTTTTTATACATAATTT